CCGCTCTGATGGGAGGCTCTGCAGCCCCTCTCCTACACCAAAAACACCTCCTGGCCCAGTCACAGGGACTCAGGTATCACCTGGCTGGTAGCTTGAGCTATTAAATAGAGACTGGATTTTTTTTTTTTTTTTTTTTTTTACTAAATCCTGAAGTTTTCTTTCTCCTTTCAGCATATGAAACCAGCCAGGGGGTAAAGGGGGAACACTTGGAGTGGTACCGAGTAACCACAACTTGGTGCTAAGCCCTGCCAGCTTTGTAACATGCTCATGCCAAACAGATGATAAAAGCTGGCAGCTACGGATGCATTTTGTGCTGCAACTCTTGGCTGAGAGGAAAAGCTACACTGAAGAAAGCAGTTCGTTCCAAGCTCTTACACTGCCCTGCCCAGACCGTTTTATCCGTCTCCTGTACCATCACTGTCTATATTTAGTGTATTAGGTTTTAATAGCGGAGGTCATCTCTTACGGTGTTTGCAGAGTGCCTAACGCAGCGGGCTCACAGTTAGGAACAGACTCATACAACTGCTATTAGGACAAAACTCTAATAAGCCCTTGGCTGCGGTGTGTTCCACAACAATGTGGGCTCTTAGATACTCCTTGACTAAATGTTTTCATACCCCACTCCTCCCCCTCGCTCTTGGGATCACGCAGTCTAAATGGAGCGCAGAAATCAGGGTGTCACATGGAACAAAAGAGAATTTGATGTTTCCCCAGGACAGAATAATTAAGCCTTACTTTTGGAGACAGTCCTGCTATGAAAGGCTAACAATTCAAAAAAATTTCCCCCTGTAATAGTGGAAAAGAAATGGTACTGGGGGTACCAAATGAAGGAAACCTAATTGCAGAACATTTCTGCAGGAAAACCTTTCTGTTTCGAAGCTCTTCTGAAGAGCGATCAGAAGAGCAGCCCACCGGGGCTTGGACATCTTTTTGAGAAAGGTAGTCTAAATTCAGCATCACTTCCTTAAGCCACAGGTATTTATCCATTACAATTCTATAGCAGTGCAAATAGCCACCTTAAAGCCAAACGGCTCGTTACTTATGAATCTTTAGCCCTTAAGCAATACTATGCACTTGACTTACGATTTGCCAGTTGCTGCTCCTTATAAACACGTAAGACTTCACCATTCCCATTTTATTCTGAGATTCATTCTGAGGGGGACAGATGATCAAATCCAGACCTCACATCACTCTCACCACGCTTTACTTCCTCCAGCTGTTTGCAGCTTGCGCGTGCCCTGACGGAAGGCAATGCTAGGCTGTACCAAACCAAAGCCAGAACGTAAAACTGAGGGTGGCTCACGGCAGTGCTGTAACTTCGCCTTCTCTCCCTGCCTCCATATGTCCTCTTGGCCCTCTGTGCCTAGCAGGGGTGACGGTGGGGAGATGAAATGATTTCTTTCTGTTTTAAAGGGTAACTTACTTGTCCAGTCTGTCCACCACGGGTTACTTCTACTGATGCTTGCACGGGGACAAGTCCCACTTGGTCACTGAACAAAGACTCAAAGCACCATACCCAGGCAGGCAGGTCCTGCTCTTCCACCCACCACCAAATTTCAAGCAATGATCCCTCCCTTCCAGATGACTCGTCTAGCAACCACGATTCAAAGCTATGTTTGCTTCAGTCATGCTTGGTTGGCTTTTAACTGATGTGTTACTTCATTGCAAAAAAACACTGGCAGAAAGCAAGCTGCCTTCAGCTTTTGGGCCTTGATTTTCAGTGTTACTTAGATTCCAAATAGGCATCTGATGGCACAGCCAAAAGTATAAAGAGGAGATAACTCGTGATTTTGACCACCTTCCATGAAGCATTCCTGAGTAGGTTAATGTTCTGCACAGAAATCTCTCTCTCATTTCCTAGATGGATTTTACTCCGTTGCTAAAGAGACAGCGGAAAAAAACCCTGCGTGTCATTTAAGTCCTCAAAATGGAGCCAAAATGACATTTGAAGGATGAATTGGTGTTGTGGATAGGGGTATTCTTTTTGTCATGTCCTTATTGCTACAATTTCCTACTCTGATACAGCTATTTTCTTTTTCATTTCTAGTTTTTTCTAACAGAATACACCGGGCCTCTTCTAATATATCTACTCTTTTACATTCGCCTCTCAACAATTTACGATCAAGTGGAAAGTACGAAGAACTTCCGTCACCCCGTGGTTCAGTAAGTGATACCTCCGTGAACTATTTTCCCAGAGAACAGGGAGCCAGAGGGATGGAGACGGCATTTCCAGAGCTGAGGAGCTTGCAGGGGGTGTGAGGCTGCACGCCAGGTCTGAGAGTTAGTGGGAGTTTGAGATTGTTTTTATCGACAACGGCTTGGCATTTTAGCAGCACTCATAAGCCTCACCAAAAATGGGATCCCAGTTGCGATGGTCACTGTACCCGGTCGCAACAGGAGATCTAGTATTTTCTCCAAATACTTTGCACATTAGACACACAGCCTGAACAGAAGGCGAAATAATAAGCACAGCGGGTAGTAACCCAAAGTCACGCTTGGCAGAGAAGAGAGGTGTCCCACTCCCAGTCCCTTTACAGCGCATTCCCACTCAGAAGATGAGCAGGATCAGCACGCAGCACAGAAGATAACTCCCCCCACACCAGATCTCACCTCAGCACAACAAGGAAGAATTTCGAGAGGTCTGTATGTCACGGGTCAGGTCAAGAACAACTAAGAAACTCAAAAGAAGCACCATAAGAATTCAGAATGGGTAATCTGATTTTTGAAACTAACCTCTTCAAACTGTAATCGTTCCCCAGGGCCATACGCTACATATTTGAGTTCTGAAAGACTTCGAAGAAATAAAACACTTAAGTGACAAACAAAAATAAAAGCTGAGCCACTGTTATAAAACAGTGAAGAGCACAGGTTGTATCTAGCTGTACAGAAACGAAGCAGAGGAGCTCATATATAAGCATAAACCAGAGAGCTTTGCTTCTCTCCATCACTGGAACAGTAATTCTCACAAGGAAAATCCAACAGCTCCAACACAATACAGTAGGAGCTGACCTTAAGGAAACGCAACCCGCGTATGTCTGCTAGAACTCAAGAGCATGCCAAAAAGCAACGAAGAGAGGACAACCAACCAAGACAGCTTTTTACGACCCTCGACAGACCATGCCATTCCCCGGCCTTTTGAAGGACTCTGGAAGAAACAAAGCAGACCTGACCAATGGGAAGGATTAAAAACTGTTACAGACAAGAGAAGTGGCAAGCAGCTATATACGATAACCACCGGCGAGGCTCAAGGCACTGTCACCACCAACCGTACCCCTCCACAGGACGGTGGTTAATGCACCAGGCAGGCTGGGAACTTTCACACTTAAGGAACTTGCTTCTCTTCAGTGTGATTGTCCCCGTTCTGGGGGATTAGTGCCTGGCAGAGGGATGGAACGTGATCAAGGAAAGTTGGTCGGCTGCAGAAGTTGGAGCACTGGAAGTGGGAGGGCACACAGGGAAGGAACACGCTCAAGGAAAGCTTTCCCACGGCACTTTTTCCACACCATGGTTGCAGAATCAAGGGAGTTGGTATACAGCACAGCAACACAGTGAGTAGTAAAACTATTTACACCTGGAGGAACCGAGACTTGGAGAGACATTAAGGGAGTTAGTGGACCTGGGAATGAGGACACAGAATGGTTGAATTCAAATCCAGAGCTGCAAGACGCTTGCCTGCCTTCTCTTGTTCATACACTTAAAAGGAGAGAGTTTCTGGTAGCACAGAAGAGCCAGCAATACCTTTCCCTTCTTTTAGGGGACAAGGGGTTTGCAGAATCCTTCCGGTGACCTCTCCTTAAAAGGTTCATCTGAGGTCCCCACCCTAAGCCAAATTAATTTTAAAATTCCCAGCAAAGCTGGAAGTTTGCTTCAGACTTTGGATAAGTCGTTAATTGTTTGAAATTTTCTTAGCTCAACTCTCTCTGGTTTAATTACTTTGAAATTGTTTAATCTTTGACTCTGGCTACCATACAAGATGCATAATAAAAGTATTTGAGATTTCACATGCTGAAAATCACTTTTCATTTCTGTCTTATAATTGGTTTGCAGTGAGACGGGCTCTGGTAGTAGGGTAAATGTAACCAAGATAAAATGCCACCAGGAATCACTCTTGACATTTGTTTCTGAAACTCAATCTCTATGAGCTGCAACTCATTCTCGGAAGCATACCAGTAATGCCTGTTATTGTTTCATAATCTTCCTCAAAAGAGAATCAGTATAATAATTTCTACAACAATTACCTCATTTCTTTGTAACGGGCAACAAAAAAGCCATCAGAATGGATTAACTTTGCAACAAAATCTCATTTTGCGTCCACATGGAAATGAAACACAAACCACCTCCGTGCAGCTACTTGAGTTGGCAAAGGACAAGGAAACCATTGAGAAGATATTCAGAATGTTTTGAAATGTCAGGCACATCCTACAGGAGCATTAAGGTGGCCTTAAAACGTGGGAGACGTCTTTTGGAAAAGCACGGCAGACGCCTGCTTGTATACACAGCTGTCCTGTTTTAATGACTTGTCAGGGCTATGTATCACGTTCAGAGCTCGAGGAGCTCTTTTTAATTCAAGGCTAGTAAAAATAAGTTGCTTCCCTGCAAAATGAAAGCAACTTTGTATAACACCGAAAATGATTCCATTAATCTTTGGTTCCAGATGCTTCAATTAAGACAATATCTTAAATCCCACGATTTCAGTGTGACTGCAGTTTTGGAATATTAGTCCTTATTCCTTTTGTGACATTAAACTGTGAAGTAATAAAAAGCAATCTTTCACTTACCTTAATTTTCTTTTTTTTTTTCCTCTTCCAGCTTGGCCTGCTTCTGCCACTGTTTGCACTACATCAGACATCTCCTGGAGACGTTATTTGTTCACAAGTTTTCGGGAGGGCACACTCCTCTGAAAAATATGATAAAGGTGACAATGCGTTTATCATTTTGTGTAAGAGAGAATATCCTCATATCAAAGCAGTCCTTGGAAGAAGATAGGAAAATAAAAAAGAATTTCTTTTCTAGTTCCAGGAATTATGATTAGTCAAAATACAAATATAGGAAGAATTTCAGGGCCATGTCTCCAAGGACATGAGTTGAAATCAATGTCCATTTTAGCTCCTGCATTTCAATGTCCACTTTGACTCATCCACCCAAGGGGCTGACTGTCACGTCCAGGATATTTTTCAGACTGAATGCTATTTTATATGAGATATGCTGCTGTAACACCTAGCAATGCTGACAGAAATGACACTCCACTTCCTCGGTGCCATATAAATATAGAGCAAGGGACAAGCCTTGCATTAGGAAGTGAAAATCAAATTACAAGTAGGAAAAAAAAAATAATTTCTCCTTCTATAGATGGAGGCCTCAGGAAGGAAGATACTGAGTTGGCCTGAAGTTGACTGTATCCCAAAGCCTCCCGAATTTCAACTGTGTGTCATTACTCACAGGCTCTCCTTTCTTTTATTTCACATACTCAATCTCAGTCATCTTGTATCACCACCACCCCCCATCCCATTCAGTGTGATGTAAAGACCCTCCCTTTAAAAGTTTTGCAATATATTTAAGGTGAACCCATGGCCATGATAGGGAGGTTGACTTGGTTCCAGTCATAAACGAGTTAATGAGATGCACACCTATAGATGTTGTTTTACAATATACAGTGTTAAAAAAAAAAAAAAAAGAAGGAATATAAGCTAAAAGGATTTGGAACCAGAGTGCTATTTCAAAAATGATTCATGCGTGTGGGAGTTAAAGACCCACAGTTAATCTTATCCCCTTGTGTACCCCAGTGGCATTGCATAAAAAGCTTAAAAAGAGAAAACCTGACTTGCAGCCCTACTTATGGGATGGAGCTGTAGCCAGTCCTAACACACTGCTCTTCCCGAGAAGGTACTGAGCCTGGGACCCTTAACTTAGATACGTAGAAAGGCTTTATCCCTTCTCCAGGGTGGTTTCGGTTGTTTGGCTGGTGGGTTTTGTCTTTCCTTGTACAAAGGATGGGAGGAGCGATCCCTACACAAGGCAAGAACACGATCACGTTATCTCTGCTCAGGCTTTCCCAAGCCCACGGCTTCAGTCACCAAGCAAAGGCAGCTGGGGTGCTGCTTTGTAACAAGAGGATGAAGTGGGGCTGAATCCATCGGAGCAGATGCAGTGTGTAGCTCAAATACCTTTATAGGAACTGTGCGCCTTTTTTTTGCAGGATTAAACCAGGCTTATTCAGTTTTACTCTTAATTGTCTCACCTGGTTTAGTGTTCTGTTTGGCTAGCTCTATCTTGCTTGGAAATGCTGAATTTAAGGTACAGTAACAGCTCAGCTGTGTGCTCTTCAGCAACAGAATCAAATAAGGAGAAAACAAACATCAATTCCTACAACAGGCATAAAACACATTCAACGCAATCCAAAAAATCTACACTGCGCGTCCTTTTATTTTTTTTTTTTTTTTTTGTGGCTTCATAGTGTCTTAAAAAGATATATATTCTGTGACTCAAGAAGCCACTGCAAAGTCTTTCAATGGTCATCTGGGTTTTGCACTTACCAGAATTCATATTTATAAAGTTACGGTTTGTACTCACTTATTGCCTTTTCTAACAACAAAAAAAATTGTATCTTTTGTCTTTTCCAGGGTTGTGCCTTTTACTGGGGATTCACTTCCTGGATTGCATACTACATCAACCACCCACGCTATACGCCACCATGTATGTATAAGTAGAACGCAAAACCGACCTTGGTTTTAAAAAGTTTTTAGTATGCAACCTTAAGTCCTCCAAAATCAATAGATGCCCCCCACATGAGATGGTATGACTAATCTAGGCAGAGATTAGCCTTTACTCCCTGTCAGAAGGAAGATCGTTGTGCGAGAGGCTCTCCTGCTGTACTACTGAACGTACGTTCCTGTTAGGCGATGGTCAATCGCTGTCCAGTTTTATGAACTGGCAATATTGGCCAAGTGGAGAAAACACAACAATCCATATATTTTGCTCATCTTCACAGTATTTGTATTAAGAATGCAGGAAAGAACTAGAGCTGGCTGCATTTTCTTGGAGGAGATATTTATTTGGTAAAGATACATCCTTTTCATGAAAATCAAGATTATTTTTTTTTGTGAGAAACCAGTAAAAGTCAATCAGAACCTGCTGATGATAATGAAAAAAACGCTGTGTTTTTTGCTTCAAGATTTCATTCATCATTTTGTTCCCACTCATTATGTTTTATTGTTGCACTGCTGTTTCTTCATGATTTTTCTCCTTCTTGTTTACTCTTTGAACTTTTGCTTCTTTTGAGCATAATTGGCATAAGTTTTGTTTCCTGCTACTTTACTTTCCCTGCTACACCTTAGTCTTTCTTTTCCTCTTCATCTTTTACTTATCTATGAGCTGTGGGAACAAAGAGTTTGGTTTGCCATTTTATTTACACTCTGAAAAAAACTAGTAATTGAACTATCAAAACTTTCTCCTATCTGGCACTTGCTTTCCTTTCAAAATAACACAAAAGTTGTGTTTGAAACTGATGTGATTCATTGAAAGCCAGTTGAATTTGGTGTGGCTTTAACAGTAGTGCTGTAAACCATGTTGAAACCTCCCTAGACACAATTTTTTAGCAGTCTGGGCTATTGAATTGGTAGGGACAGCTTTATAGAGGAAATCATTTGTTCAAAACACAGCTTTCCAACAGAGAATGCATTCAGAAGAAGTACTTCTAATTGCTTGTTGCTGCCTTAAAATGACAATTACAGGTGCATGGGTCTAATGCTGGAGATCACCGGCCCTCTGGCGTAGTTAGCTGGATCAGTAAAGCATTGATGGTTTATTTTGGATGCAGGAGCAGGTGACCTCCACAGTCGTAGCCAGAGATGGCTGGTTTGGGGACAGGTGAGGAAAGGCGAGCAGGTAGTTGCAGAATGCTATGCAGGGGTGGTAAATTGAACCAGGCTGACAAAGGTTCCATGAAAAACATCTGCTTAGCAGCTACAGACTCACAAGTTGACATGTGCTCGTTCACAGAATCGTTTAGGTTGGAAAGGACCTTTAAGATCGAGTCCAACCGTAAACCAAGCATGGCCAAGCCCACCACTAAACCATGTCCCTACGCACCACACCTACGTGTCTTTTAAATACGTCCAGTGATGGGGACTCCACCACTTCCCTGGGCAGCCTGTGCCAGTGCCTGACAACCCTTTGGGTGAAGAAATTCTTCCTAATATCCAATCTAAAACTCCCCTGGTGCAACTTGAGGCCATTTCCTCATGGTTGTTCTGAGGAGGAGTTTTAGCGCAAGCCCTCGGCACCACAGAGGAGTCATGTGCCAGCCAGGGTTCTCAAAAGTAAAAGCTCGATGAGACTTGGTCAGAGAAGTGAGGTACATACACGTGGTTTGTGCTCCTCAGCCATGACCAAGGTTTACTTGAGAACTGTAAACCTTTGGAGATGAACGTGATGCAGCAGTGCAGCGGTCTGAGGACAAAAGCAAAAAGGAGAGAGCAGGTAAAAACTGCAAAGGTTAAATGTATTTCTTGCATGGTGAGACTGTGAAGCAGATGGTGACTATATAGTAAAGCCTCACTGCTAAAAAAAAAAAAAAGTAATGGATAGGTTATATCTTGGGTTCCCAGCTCATGGAGATAGAAGAGTCTATGGATAAGGCTGTGATTCCTGGCCTGGTTCTGTCACCGACCTTCACTTCATCCCTCCCCTTGCCTTTCCAAGGAATTTAACACCACCAGCTGCTTTGACAAAGTGCTTGGGATACACAAAGCTAACAAAGACTAGGAAAAATTAGGTGAAAACTGCCTTGAGATCAGTGGTGAAGAGACCGGCACTTCTAGAGTGCTGCTACTATTGGCATTGTCTTCATATTGTGTGTGATAATATCCATTCTTTCTGCAGAATCTGTCAGGAAAGAAGTATTTCTGCTCCTCAGCACTAGATTAATTTCACCCATAGCAAACCATGTGTATACTGTAAAATGCAATTTATGATTTCATTCTATTTTCTAGCATTTGGCCACAGACAAGTTTCTTTTGCTGCCCTTGCTTTTCTGGTACGTACAAAACTAAAGTTTTATTAATGATTGTGGAATGGGAGTAACTCACGATTTAGCAAAATGCAGTAATGCTGCTATGCATTTGTGTGTATATATATATATATACGTCCACACCCACAGCCCTGTGCCCTTTGACTCGATTTAGTGATAACCTGTTAAGGTTTCTAGGCCAAGAAGTCTCCTAGTACTATTTACCTTAATGTGAAGTAGCGCATCAGTGAGCCACGAGAACATCATCAGTATTATTACTACTCATAATTGTTGTCACCGTTTAAGGCTGGGCCG